TGGGCCGCCAGCCCAACAAAGATTAAGAGTTCAGTTATCCCTTTGTTTGTTATAATTTCCCACACTTAACGTAGATTCTTCCCTCCTATTCCAAATAACTGGGGATCAAGCCCCAAGGTATTGATGGCATAATCGGTCCAGACCCCGGTTATTGTGTTTTGTGTTAATGGTCTGGTGGTGGCGGCGTAAAGGAGATTCTAGTGTTTGCTAGGAGTCAGGTACCACGTCGTGAGGCTGTAGAATCTTGGCCGGTCAAACGGCTTATGACCACGTGGCGTGGGATTCAGCTTAGAGTAGTAGCTCTGGAGGTCCCTTGGATTGAAGATAAGTAATTCAGAATATGGGTAGAGGTAAGGGGTAAAGGACAGAGTAGAGCCGAACCCCCCCCCCCCCTCCCCCGTGTTACACACGTCTACACATTGGGTCACAACAATTACCTTCTTAAAAATAAATCATGCCATACAAACTGCTCCAGGTTTTGAAAATTTCAACCAGCTATTCAGACAAGGACTTCCAATACATGTAGTATACATAAACATTGCTAAAGCTTTTGAAAAGGCACCACATGAAAGACTGACATGGAAAGTACAAGCACATGGAATATATGAATACTAGAATGGATCAAACAATGATTAAAACAAAGAAAGCAAAATGTCGTCCTAAATGGAAATATCTCTGACTGGAGAAATGTGGTGAGTGGAGTACCTCAAGGTTCCATTTTGGGGCTAACCCTTTTTGTCATATACATCAATGATATAGAATAGAATATCACAAACCATATCATCAAAATTGAAGATGATGCTAAGATTTATGGTAAAGTAGGGAGTGAACATAATATTGAGGCCTAACAAAGCGATCTACATGAACTCCACAAGTGTCGGACGATTGGCAGATGCTCTTTAACTACGAAAAATACAAAGACCTTGCATGTGGGGCATAACATTGCACATCACAACTATCAAATAAAAAATATTACCTTGCAGGAGGTTGATGAAGAAGGACCTTGGAGTCAGGATCCACAAATCAAATCAAAAGTTGCTCAACAAGTGGAAGCTGCAGTAAAAGAAAAATGCGAAGACCATGGGGCATAACATCCAGCACAACTATCAAGGAAAAATATTACCTTGCAGTCAGACGTAACTTTGATTTGCAGTAAAAGAAGAAAATAGAGTAGACGTAACTATTTTTTTTTTTTTTTAACAGTATAAATCTCTTGTGCTTGTATTATTGTATCGAAGCATGGAGACCTCAGCTTCAAAAAGGTACATCTGCTTAAGTTCAACACCGGGCAAGAAAAATCATTCCTGAACTAAGTGGGCTCTTTTCTTTGATGTCCAAAGGGTTTGGAAAGGATGGGGGAGGTAGAGGGTATGGGGAGGTGAAGTGCTGGAAGAGGATGCGGGTGTTGAGAGAGAGAAGGTTAGAAAGTTCGGTGGCCTGTCCACCATGGGTTGACATGTGAGTGTCGTTTGTTTGGGTTTGTGGTATGTTGGGTTGCCAGTACTTTGGCTGGGTGGCTAGTGTTTGTGTCCTAGCTGGTGTCTGGAAGCCCTAGGTGGAGTTGGCTGCAAGAGTTTAATCTTAGCAACATCAGGGTAGTTACTCTTCTGGTAGCACAAAAAAGGTTTTTGTTGTTTTTATTTTTTTAAATTTTTATTTATTTATTTTTAATTCTTTATTAGGTATAGATCGGGTCCGGGATGGGCCACTCATCTGGGTCGTCTGGTAGGCCACTTAGTATTTGAGGTCTTGGGAAGGCCTGATCATGGATGTGTCTGATCACTTTTTGTTAGAAAGTTATTCTTCTGGTCCTGTGTGGTGGTTCATGGATCTCGTAGTCACTGGTGGTGTTTATTGCTTCGTAGGGATCTTCGGGGTCTGGGACGTACATGTGCTTCATGCGGTACAGCTGCCTTCTGGCCAGGTAGCTGAGCCTGATGTTCATTGGCATCATGTTGAGTGTCTCATGGAGTTGGTCTGTTCTTACCATATTCATCAGTGACAGGCCCTCTGCAAACCGAAGTGCTTTATTTTGTACCCGTTGGATCTTCAGCATGTTGGTTTTGTTGGTAAGATTCAGAGGAACGTAAAGGTACTCCAGGCTAGGCCTTATTATCATTCAGTACAGGTGGAGCTAGATGTGGGATGGGGCTTGCCTAAAGTGGAAGAGCCTCAACAGGGAACCCTTAGCCATCGCTCTCTTCTGGGAGACGTACTGGGTGGAGTTGCGTAGACTGTTAAAGTTGTATCCGAGCACTGTGTTGGAGTTTGAGATGGGTATGGGTTCACCCCTGATCCTTATCCCCCCCCTCGTTTTCAATTGAGAAGGCCATACATCCGTCAGTGCTTATTTGGATCTTTTCTGGGTTAGTGGTGATCCTCCACTTTCTTTCCCAGTTAGCAGTCCTGGCTAGTTCTGTGTTCGCCTTACGGGTTACAGTTGCATGTTTGGCTGCTTGGCTACTTGGGTTAGATGTTATTACGTGTGTTTCGTCGTCCGCAAATTGGACAATAATGGTGTCTCTGTTTTCCAGTTGGGGCAGGTCATTTACAAAAATGTTGAAGAGGACCGGGCTCAGGCACGACCCTTGGGGGACTCCAGCTGTTGGGGTGAAAACTGCTGCAGATTTCCCGTTGAAGCTGGGAGTAACTTGTCTGTTCTTTAGAAAGTTTCTGATCAGCCTGAGGAGGGTTCAGTTTTGGGCTGATAATTCTGCTAATTTGTACACCAGACCATCATGCCATTGGCTGTCGAAGACCTTGTGGACGTCCCTCGTCGCAATCAGGGCTACCTGTTTTTGCTGGCGAATTGATCTCACAGCATCGTAGATGATGTTTATTGCGTGCTGGGTTGACCTTTGTGCTCGAAAGCCAAACTGTTTTTCTGTGAAGAGGTTGTTGTACTCCATGTAGAAGTTGAGACGGTTGGACATGATTTTTTCAAAGCACTTGCCTATTGTGTCTAAGAGGGAGATTGGGCGGTAGTTGCCAGGCTGGTGGGGGTCTTTCTTGGGTTTGGGAATGAATATCATCTTGGCCGATTTGAAAGCTAAGGGAATGTGACCAGAAGCCAGCATGGCATTGAATAGGTTGAGTAGGGATTGCAGAAAATTGCCTGGTAGGAATTTGATCTGCTTTGCTTTGATCCCCGATGGTCCTGGGGCCTTATCTTGGATGTTTTTAATGACTCCTCTCATCTCTACCATAGTTATGGGTCTTGTTAGTGGGTGGTCGTCTTGGAGGGTTGTCAGGTCTATCAAGGGGGTGCTGAGAAGGGAGGCGGCGTTTTCTGTTGTCCATTGATTGACACGGATGAAGTGAATGTTGTTGAAGGCTCTGCTGTTTTAAGCCGTGAGTGTCTTTTTTCCATTCTGCACTGATGAGGTCAGCCTGTTCTTGTGCGTCTTCAATTTTTTCCTGTTGTTCCTCGTCATCTTCATCCAGGAATGTGTGTATGAGGCAGGTGAGGCTGGGGTTAGCCGATCCCAAGAGCTGTCTGATCTTACACCAGAAGGCTCCCAGCTCCTTTTTGTACTGGTTGGTCTGTCTCACAAGGGTTCCCCATATGTGGCTCTTATGAGTTAGCATTAGATCCATGGTTTCCCTTCTGAGTGATTGTAGGGACAACGTTGGTGGCTGGCCAGTTTGGTAGTGGCTTTGACAGGTTCGTTGGTACTCATTAATTTTACCACTAATTTCTTGGGCCGGTTTATATTGGTGGTGGGTCCTTGTGGTGGATCTTTCACAGGTGGCCTCAGTTGCAAGCTGGATGTGGTTGTGGATGGTGTTTACTGCTTGGTCTATTGTTTGGGTGGGTAGGTTGTCAAACTCGATGATGGGGTCGTCAGTGAGGAAGGTGTCATATTCCCTGGCTCGCATGGTTTCCAGTCTGGGCCTGGGAGGTGTCACAAACTGGAAGGGGGTAGCATGGAGGGTGGTGATCACAGGGATGTGATCAGACACCACGTTCTTGCCTGGGGTCACTCTGCAGTGGAACAGGTCACAGTCTCTGTTGGTCAGTAATATGTCAGGGGTGCCTCTCACATTGCCAGCAAAGAATGTCTTGAAGTGGGGGCCTTCGAAGGAGAGGTCTCTGTTTTGCATTAAATTGAAGAGCTGTCTGCCCTTTAGGTCTGCTCTGGTAGGAGCGTTGAATAGGGCCTGGTGGTGGTGGGCATTCAGGTCTCCTGCAATTATAGTTGGGAGTTTCCTGTCGAGCAGCCTGTTGAGTGGGATAGAGGGGAAGTAAGTGAGTCCTGGGGGTAGATATGCGGTGCAGACGATTAGGGGGCCGTGTGAGGTGGTGAATTCTACTGCAAGGTAGAGGTCATCTTCTATGAGGATGGGGCGGTAGGAAAGCCTTCTCTTTATTAGGATTGCCACCCCGCTGTGCATCCCCCTGTTGACCTCCCTAGTGGAATATCCCCAAGAGAGATGTGCTGGTCCTGTCTAACCGCTGTTTCATTGAGTAAGATAATATCTGGGTTAAGTCTGGCTACCTCCAGGGTGAGGAGGTATCTGTTGTTGAAGTAGAGTCTGATATTCACTTGAAGAATGGTGATCCCCAATGTTGGTTGTGAGTCGTATGTGTTTGTTTGGCTCGAGTGTCAGTGTTGTTAACTTCGGTTTGGCTTCTGATGTGTGTGTAGGTGGAGGATAGGCCTTTTGGACCAGGGATCATGTTCTTGGTTCCGGCCGGGGGGGATGGATGAGGTTTTCCACACGTTGCTGTACAATTGAGGGGTCTTTGTTGACGCTACTGTTCTCGATGTCCACGTCTGTAGTGCTAGAGTCACTCACAGATGGAGTATTAGGGGGGTTGCTTGCCCTTATCCTTTCCTCAGGGGATGAGCTTCGGCTGCTAGAGTTGGCCCTGAGCCTCTTAGAACAGTGGTGTGTGGAGCTGCTGTGTGAAACTGCGGTGTGTGAGGCGCTGATTGCGTCTAGGGTTTCTTTGGCAAGGGTGCTTGTGAGGGCTTTGAGTATAATCCTGTCTGGGACTACTGTAGGAAGGGTGGACCTGGGTGTTTGCTAGTTTGTCGGGGTGGAGGGGCCGGGGTGATTCTGGGAGTTTGGTGTCTCTTGAGCGTTGGATGAGGCCTGGGGGTGGAGAGTACTTGGGTTGGGGTTGTTGGGTTGTGCTTGGGCCTGGCCGGTGGCTGTTGTGTTGTTAGGAGACAGGTAGGCCAGCGAGTCCTTGGACATGTGGACAGGGGACAGGCCATTGTGCCTTCCTGATCGACCGACTGGGCCTGCAACCCTTGGTTGGGGTTACCCCAGGCGTTTACTGGTGGAGGGGCAGGAATGGTGATTGCTGCTTGTTGACGGGCTGTTGTCACCGTTTCTTGTGCTTGATTGATTGCATCCTGTTTATGGGGACACAAATGAGAGATTGCAATGTGTGCACCATTGCATAGTGCACACTTGGGTGTTGGGCTTGTGCATTCCCTGTAGTTGTGTTCCCCTGCACACCTGCTGCACTTGGGGATTTCAATGTTGCATGCACTGGAATAGTGGTCATACTGGAAGTATTTGAAGCATTGTTTGAGCTTGTGAAACCTCTGTAGGGTGATTTGGTCAGGGCCAGACTTGATGCCAAATGCAGAAAAGCCAAGGTTGCAGACTTGTGCTGCTTGCTCCGGTGAAGCCAGAGTTAGCTTCAGTACTTGGTTGTTGTGGGACTGAGTTGTGAACCAGTGGGCATGAATTATTTTAATATCCCTGTTTTTTCTCCAGATTTCTGCAGATATCTCGTCAGCTGAGTGATCCATGATGATGTCATGGATCCTATGTACAAAAATAGTGCGTTTGGCTTGGAATTCGGCCGGGGGATAGACCGTGATCCACCCTCTCCAATAGTTTGTTCAGACTGTCGGTCGAAAGGAGTTCTGGAAGGTCTGCATTGTGTACCAACAAGATGGCTCCAGTTGTTATTTTGAACACATTTTTTGTAGGTAATCTGGGTGATCTCATGAATTACTTCAAGTAGTTGGGCTGGAGAACGAATCTGACCAGATTCGTCAGTGAAGCTGACTTTGGCCGCCATGACCTTGTTGGGCCAGGAAGCCTAGTCTAATCTATACTAAGGTGGATGTTTGTGTTGTGTCTTGGTAGACTAAGTGGCTGGTGGGTGTTAGTTCGGCCGAGGCTGCTAACTTCTGGTTGTTAGGCAACTAGAGCTACTTGAACAGTTGGTAATTGAACCTATCGATAGCCTAAGCCTGCTACAAGGTTGTTAGTTGCCCGATCAAACCTTCGCAAGAATTTCAAGAACCCAATTTTGGCTACCACTCGGGAAATATCGTTTGGAATGGCGAAAAACAAGAGGTAGAAACAGTTTAGAAAGACAGCCTTATTCACATCTTAATTCTATGATTAGTAGGTTGTGCAATGTGTATTGTGTGAGTGTGTGTGTGGAGTGTTGTGGTACAGGCAGGGAGAGAATGAGGAGGAGGTGGAGATGGGAAAGAAGAGGAGGATGGGTTTATTTGGACATCATTTTGCTGTAAGGTCAGGTTCAGTCTCGTGTCCTGTATACAGCGCTGCAGTATAGTGTAGAATACTTATCTCTGAAAGTATTACATGTAATACAGGCCCAGAGAAATCTTCAACGACGTTCCTTACTCTCATAATTTTATAATTTCATCACGAAATTCATAAACCGTTTTGTCTCTTAAGGCAATCAGAAATCCTTTGATTGTAAAACATTTGTTTTGTCCTAAATCCTGTTGATAATATGATGGTTAGAACACTAGTTCTTGGTCTGGTCTGGGACAGGCAGCCATCTCTGGGACACCCAGCATCTTGCAACAGAGTATCCCAGCCATCTCTGGGACACCCAGCATCTTGCAACAGAGTATCCCAGCCATCTCTGGGACACCCAGCATCTTGCCACAGAGTATCCCAGCCATCTCTGGGACACCCAGCATCTTGCCACAGGGTATCCCAGCCATCTCTGGGGCACCCAGCATCTTGCCACAGGGTATCCCAGCCATCTCTGGGGCACCCAGCATCTTGACACAGAGTATCCCAGCCATCTCTGGGACACCCAGCATCTTGCCACAGGGTATCCCAGCCATCTCAGGGGCACCCAGCATCTTGCCACTGGGTATCCCAGCCATCTCTGGGGCACCCAGCATCTTACCACAGGGTATCCCAGCCATCTCTGGGGCACCCAGCAACTTGCCGCCACAGAGTATCCCAGCCATCTCTGGGACACCCAGCATCTTGCCACAGGGTATCCCAGCCATCTCTGGGGCACCCAGCATCTTGCCACAGAGTATCCCAGCCATCTCTGGGACACCCAGCATCTTGCCACAGGGTATCCCAGCCATCTCTGGGGCACCCAGCATCTTGCCACAGGGTATCCCAGACATCTCTGGGGCACCCAGCATCTTGCCACAGAGTATCCCAGCCATCTCTGGGACACCCAGCATCTTGCCACAGGGTATCCCAGCCATCTCTGAGGCACCCAGCATCTTGCCACAGAGTATCCCAGCCATCTCTGGGACACCCAGCATCTTGCCACAGGGTATCCCAGCCATCTCTGGGACACCCAGCATCTTGCCACAGAGTATCCCAGCCATCTCTGGGGCACCCAGCATCTTGCCAGCCCAGCCATCTCTGGGACACCCAGCATCTTGCCACAGGGTATCCCAGCCATCTCTGGGACACCCAGCATCTTGCCACAGAGTATCCCAGCCATCTCTGGGACACCCAGCATCTTGCCACAGAGTATCCCAGCCATCTCTGGGGCACCCAGCATCTTGCCACAGAGTATCCCAGCCATCTCTGGGGCACCCAGCATCTTGCCACAGAGTATCCCAGCCATCTCTGGGGCACCCAGCATCTTGCCACAGGGTATCCCAGCCATCTCTGGGGCACCCAGCATCTTGCCACAGAGTATCCCAGCCATCTCTGGGGCACCCAGCATCTTGCCACAGAGTATCCCAGCCATCTCTGGGGCACCCAGCATCTTGCCACAGAGTATCCCAGCCATCTCTGGGGCACCCAGCATCTTGCCACAGAGTATCCCAGCCATCTCTGGGGCACCCAGCATCTTGCCACAGAGTATCCCAGCCATCTCTGGGACACCCAGCATCTTGCCACAGAGTATCCCAGCCATCTCTGGGGCACCCAGCATCTTGCCACAGAGTATCCCAGCCATCTCTGGGACACCCAGCATCTTGCCACAGAGTATCCCAGCCATCTCTGGGACACCCAGCATCTTGCCACAGAGTATCCCAGCCATCTCTGGGGCACCCAGCATCTTGCCACAGGGTATCCCAGCCATCTCTGGGGCACCCAGCATCTTGCCACAGGGTATCCCAGCCATCTCTGGGGCACCCAGCATCTTGCCACAGAGTATCCCAGCCATCTCTGGGGCACCCAGCATCTTGCCACAGGGTATCCCAGCCATCTCTGGGGCACCCAGCATCTTGCCACAGAGTATCCCAGCCATCTCTGGGGCACCCAGCAACTTGCCGCCACAGGGTATCCCAGCCGTCTCTGGGGCACCTAGCCACAGAGTATCCCAACCATCTCTGGGACACCCAGCATCTTGCCACAGGGTATCCCAGCCATCTCTGGGACACCCAGCATCTTGCCACAGAGTATCCCAGCCATCTCTGGGGCACCCAGCATCTTGCCACAGTGTATCCCAGCCATCTCTGGGCCACCCAGCATCTTGCCACAGTGTATCCCAGCCATCTCTGTGGCACCCAGCATCTTGCCACAGAGTATCCCAACCATCTCTGGGGCACCCAGCATCTTGCCACAGAGTATCCCAGCAATCTCTGGGGCACCCAGCATCTTGCCACAGAGTATCCCAGCCATCTCTGGGGCACCAGCATCTTGCCACAGAGTATCCCAGCCATCTCTGGGACACCCAGCATGTTGCCACAGAGTATCCCAGCCATCTCTGGGACACCCAGCATGTTGCCACAGAGTATCCCAATAATAGATGTAATTTGGAATGCTTTAACGTGACAATTCCAACCAGGTATAACTTCTATTAGTTTTTTAGAAGGATTCTCTCTCCCCTTCCTTAACCAGCACTGACATAACAGATGAAAAAAGGAGTAATTGAAACTGTTTTGATAGATATTACACTGAAGATTTGTGTTGACAGTTGCAATAATTGATATATGAATATTATCAAGTTTTCTGTTAAACAGACACTAAGCTTTTTCAGGTCAGCAATAGTGGCTTTCTCCCAGTGTAAATGTTTTAAGGTTGGTTACTGTTCTCACTGTCAGCAGCAACAGTTTGATAGTGACGTATAATGAAGGTGAAGAATTTGAGAAAATTATCAAAAGGAGACTTTCCTCTCGAATCATTTAAAAGAAAGTCAATGTAATATTAAACTGAGCATAAACAGTTTTGACCAGCACATGCAAAAGTTTTGTTAAATTTTAAAAGCCTAAGTCTTCTTGTATCGTATTAAGTTTTTCTTAATTTGTTAAGAAAATTAATTAATTTCTTTTATCTACGTGGTTTATATACTTTAAACAAGACAGGTCTCAGGCCAGAGTCCTAAGGACCATTGGCAACGTTTACCACTCGGATTTGTCTTACTCTGTTTCTGTTGAAAAAGTCATATCATATACCACTAGCAAGTTAATACCTCCAAACAACAGGCCTCAGAATATGAGGGCAAATAAAAGTGTTTATATTGTTTAAAGTTATATGTTACTGTATTTCAAATAATGCATGTATTTACTTTAATAGTTGTAGTACTTTACTATATAAAATATAGTACAGTACTACTTACAGTATCAAAGCAGGCGTACA